CCTATAGGACAGAGTTGAATGGCTCCATAGGGTTTCCAAGGAGCGGCTGCTGGATTTGAACTGCCAACATTTTGGTTATCAGCCTGAGCTCTAAACCACTGCACCACCAAGCCTCCAATTGTTCATAGTATGCTCTTATACTTTTATTTCTGTAAAGTTCGTAATGATATCCTCTCTTTCATTCCTGATTTTAATAATTTGGTTCTTCTCTCTTTTTCTTCTTGGTCAGTCTAGCTAAAGTTTTGTCAATTTTGTTGATCTTTTCAAAGGACGAACTTCTGGTTTTTCTGGTTTTCTCTATTGTTTTTCTAGTCTGTATTTCATTAATTTCTACTCTAATCTTTTTTTTTTTTTTTCCCTTCCTCTGCTTGCTTTGGATTTAGTTTGGTTTTATTTTTCTAATGTCTTAAGATGGAAGGTTAAGTTATTGATTTGAGATTTTTCTTCTTTTTTGTTGTAGACATTTACAGCTACATTTTCCTCTGAGCACTGCTTTTACTGTATCCCATAAGTTTTGGTATGTTGTGTTTTTGTTTTATTATCTCAAAGTATTTTTTAATTTCCTTGTGATTTCTCCTTTGACCTATTGATTATTTAGAAGTGTGTTGTTTAGTTTCCACATAGTTGTGAGGGGGGTCTTCCAGGGAACCACCATACAGGTCAAATAATGACAATTCTCTGTGAAATGGGACTTTAAAGGGGCTCTAATTTCATTCTGCTCCCTTCAGTGGCTTCTAGGCTGCTGGTTTTCACCATAATGGTGGGTGTAGGTTTTCAAGCCTCCATAGAGCTGGTCAGGGAGGGATGGGGATAAGGCAAGTTAAAACACCACAAAGCTTACTGTTCTTAAAACCAAAAAAATACCAAACCTGTTGCCATCGAGTTGATTACAACTCATAGCAACACTATAGGACAGAGTAGAACTGCCCCATAGAGTTTCCAAGGGTATAATCTTTACAGAAGTAGACTGCCACATCTTTCTTCTGTGGAGCAGCTGGTGGGTTTGAACTGCTGACCTTCCAGTTAGCAGTCAAGCGCTTAACCACTGCACCACCAGGGCTCCTTATTGTTCTTACCAAGATTCAATTATTTTTCTTGAAAATATGCTCCCCAGATTATTGTAAGCCTTTGATTAATTTCCAGAGTTCTGAAAAAGTTGATGCTGATAAATTTTGACAGTGTTTTCATTGCTTTTATGGAGAAGAGAATTTTCAAAGGACTTCACTCTAGCAATTTCCCTGATATCACTTGTTCTTTTGTATTTGCTTCAAAGATTACTAAATAGAAAGTTGTGCAAGATATAACTGAGACACAAGTCCCAAATTTTGATAGCCTCTGAACCAAAAAACCAAACCAGTTGCCATTGAGTTGAGCAACAAAGTAGAACTCCGCTCTATAGGGTTTTCATGGCCGTGACCTTTTCGAAGCAGATGACCAGGCCTGTCTTCTAAGTCATGCCTGGGTGAGTTTGAACAGCCAACCTTTCGGTTAGTAGCCAAATGCCTACCATTTATACCACCCAGGGACTCTGATAGCCTCTATAAAACTCTAAAACCTTACGGCTGTCAAGGTGGTGTTCTCCCTCTCCCTGCCACTCCTCTCTGCCCAGCTTTTTTCCTATTCCCAAAGCACTTATCAAACATTTTAATATACTATAAAATTTGCTTATTTATTATTCAACATTCTGTATAAGTTATACTGCCTCTCCCTGTTGGGGCGTAAGCTTCATGAGGGTAAGATCTTTATTTTGTTCACTAACGTATCCCAAGAGCCTAAAACTGTCCTTGGCACATAGCAGGTACTCAATATGTATGTTGTTGAATGAATAAATGAATTGTGGCTGATAAGTCATACTTTCCAATTTAAAAATAAGTGAAAACCAGCTATCTGAACAGTTGTTACTGTTTTCAATAAGGGGAAAACAATTGAACTGATAAAATTATATATTTTTAAAATTGACCCATCCGTTTAGAACATGAAGTCCAGATCCTGACCTTGAAAACCACCAACTGTGAAAAATCTGTGTGCTTGAAAACAAATAGTGAAGTTCTAATTCATAAGGATTCTTTCCAAGCTCCTTAGATAAACACTGTTGCTTCATTTGCTTTTTAACTTATCGTGACTCTATTAGGCAATTGCTGAGCTTACACACAAAAATAAAACGCAAACATTTTAGGGCCTGCAATTGACTGCCAATGTAGAGTTTCCCCTTTCATTTTTACCTTTCACTCAGCACTCTAAAAATAATAATCCCCTGCCCCACTGACTAGTCTACAGCCAAATGGAGTGGATGAGTATTGTGACGTGGCCAGCAAATCCCCAAAGGGAGATCTCTAGCAGACCGTGGGAAGAGTACTTCTGAGCCAAGGCCCAACTTTTGAAAGGTTTCTTTTGTCTCCCACAGTTCAGAAGGAACTTTAGAGATTGCCTTTCTTAAACTATTACCCCACCACACACAAACACATTCAAACACACACACAAATATCCCTTGGGGAATAAATGAGAAATAATCATTGTGAACAGGAAACAAACATTACAGGAAACAGCCTATATTCAGTAATCATTTATTAAGTGCTTACTGTGTTCCTAAGCACAATGCATGTAGGATAATAATATGGTTTGACTTATAGGGAGGAAAGTTCAGGAGAAGAGATGTGGTCAGTGTCCTGGACCCTCAGCGCAGTTTTCCCACCACGATATCATTTCAGATTCCACATTGCAATTAACCTTTAACAAACTACCAATTATTGAGTTTTGGTATAGTATCAAAGAAGTATATGTACAATTATCTGAAAAGGCTATTAAAATACTTCTCATGTTTCCAGCTATGTATCTGTGAGGTCATATTTTTTTCATATAATGCAACCAAAACAAAATATTGCAACAGCTAGGAGAATCCAGCTGTTTCTTATTAAGCCAGAGATTAAAGAGATTTGTAAAACTGTAGAACAATGCCACTCCTCTCACTAAATTTTTTTGTTTTAAAAACAATTTTTTTAATAAAAATGTAAGTAACCATATAATGGTTTATTATTGTTATTTTAAAAATTAATACATATTTAAAATTTTTTTTCCATTTGAATTTTTAGTATGGTAAATATTGATAGATATAGCCCATAAAAACAAAAGCTATTTAGGGTACTCACTTATTTTTCAGAGTGCAGAGACCAAAAAGTTTGAGAACTGCTGTTCTAAGGGAATAATTTAAAGTGAGTTTAAACTGAAGCAGTCCTTCACCAACTTTCCTCAATGAGTAAAGTAGAAATCCCTCTAGTTCCCTGAAAACATTTGCTAGTTTAAACATGAGCATTTAAAATGGATGACAGACATGTAAGGCCGAATTCTATTTTTACCTCATAACTAGTTCTCACCTCAAAAGCATGCTGTAAATCTCAAGGCTTCTGTTTGCTTGAGCCAGTGCTAAGAAGAGAGAGAATCATACTGAGGAAAGAAGGGGAGCCAGGTTTTAGGCCTTCTGCAACAGAATCAATTATTCCATAGCTTCCCCTTATCTATACATTCCATATTATATTAGGGTTAAAATGAATAAGTATTCAATAACTGATCATCAACATCCAAAATAAAGGAGAGGCAGGGCAGGGATAGGCTGGCTTTATGAATAAGAACATCAGGTCTTTTGTTAGCAGGATCTAAGCTGAACTCCTTTTCTTCTGACATGGGAAAAATTACAAATCTCTCATTGACTCCTGTACAACAGTATCCCCAGCACCTAGCATCTAAGATAGTGCATTACACATATTAGGCACACAATTAACATTGTTGAATGAAGTCAAACTCCTTTATTTTCATGACGTAAATTTGACTCCCTCGTAACTGGCAGAGAGCTAAAGCAACTCTAAAGATTTAAGAGATGGATACAAAAAGAGGAGCCCCCCGCCAAAGATTAGGAGATTGCAGAAATTATGTAGGAAGAAGACAATGACCATTGTTCAGTTATATACTATAGTATAACAAACCACCCTAAAATGTAGTGCTTAAAACAATTAGTTTATTGTTATCTCACAGTTGGGGGTTGTCCATACAGGTGTCTGGAATCTCTCATACAGTTGCAGCCTCGAGCGGTCTCCTTGCATCCAGAGTCTATTCTCAATACAGCAACCAGAGTAATTCTTTAAAAATCTGCTATATCATGTTCCTCCTCTGCTCAACAATCTCTGGTAGCTTCCTATCCCACAGAAAAATTCAAAGTCATCACAATGGCCTACAGGTCCCACAGGATCTGAACTCTCCACCATCTCCACCACCCTTGCCTCTGGTACCTCCTCTGCCAGTCTTCATTCCTCCTCTGGCTTAGTTCACATCAGCCACACAGGCCTCCTTGCTGTTCCTTGGACATGCAATATCACTTTAGGGCCTTTGCACTGGCCGTCTCCTTTTCTTGGGACAGTCTTCCCCAATATACCCATCTGACTCTCTTCAAGCCATTGTTCAATGTCACCTTCTTAGTGAGGCCTTCACCAACTTCCAACCCCTCCTCCTTTGATGGCTACAGTTGGATGCTTTCAGAACCAGGATATTCTGGTTCGGAACACTGACATGAGCAGCTATGTTAGACGTCAAGCATATAGCAAGCCCTGGCCTACAACGTCATTCAGTGATTTCTTCACTGGCTAGCCAATAATTGCGGCCCCCAGTGAGCTCTCTTTTCAGACAGTGGTAGCAGGGGCCACGTCGTAGAATGGGAACTCCCTGAGGGGAGAGATGGTAATTTGTTCCTTTTAGATTCCCGGCGTCCTGGTTTGAGCGGGACATTCAGTGGACGTTGATGCTCTGTGAAAGAACGCGAGAGAGCACTACTCCTCGGAGGCTCCGCCCCTCCGGCCCCACCCCCTCCCTCTCCCTCTCCCTCTCCCTTTCCCTCTCCTAGGTCTGCGTCCAGATCCTCTCTCATCCATCGCTCGGTGCTCGTCCCTTCTCCCAGGGCCTGCTCAGTGCGTCCCATCGATCCGCTCGGCCATCGTGCGCCGGCGCCATTGGGCTGTCAGTCAGAGGCGGCGTGGGGAACGTGGGGAGCGCTGGGAGCGGTTACTGCGCGCCGGGAGCCGAGGTAAAGCTGCGGCTTCTGGGCTGGCAGGCCGTGGACTAGCCGGCTGGTGGGGGTGAGCAGTGCAGCAGGGCCGCTCGGTCCAGCTTCCCCTGAGGGAGGAGGGCTCCTCGAGTCGGGCCGGGTTGGGCCCGAAGGAGGTGGTTGGCAATGCAGAGCCCCCATGGACCGCGCAGCCGAGCTCCTCGCCAGCGAGTCCGGCCCGACCGGGCCATGGGGCCAACTGCCCGAAGTAGAAGGGAGTTTGGAGAGAACCCGAGTCTACCACATCATGCAACAGTTGGAGAAACTGAGTTTCGGAAAGGGGAGGATCTGCTCGAAGTCACAGCGACTGAGCACCAGACCCGGGACCAGATTCCCTTAGCACAGTCCCTGAACTCTTTTCACTTCAGCCCTTCATTCATTTATAATACCAAACTCTACGGAGCAGTTCTACTCTTTAACCCATGGGATTTTTTTGTTGTTGTTGTTTAGGTGCAGGGCAATGAAATACAAAGGGGAGTAAAGTAAGATCCCTGCCCCAAGCAGCACATAGTGGGATAAGAGACCAATTATGATAAAATGGTTTATCTGTTTACAACAGGTGAAGGCTATGAATGTCATGATGGAGGTATGTCTGGGATGCCGTGGACACCCCCTCTAAAGCTTGGGAGGCTAGCAAGACTCATTGCCTTGATTCCCATCACACCAGAGTTGTGGCATTTGACACAGTCTGCCTCCTATCACGGTTAGTTGTGTTCATGATTACCAACCAGAGAACATAACTTCATTGAGAACAGGAACCTCAGGTCTTGCAAACTTGGGTTCTGATGTCCCTTCTGCACCTGTTTGAGCGTGGCTCTTATACAGGGTTATTGTGAGGGTCACAGATCCTCATTCCATAAACGCTGATTCAGTGTCTGGCATCTGGCAGACATTCTGTTATTGGGAATACAGTGATGGCTAACACACAGTCCTCACCTTCAGGGAACTCACAGGAAAGAAATATTTAAACACATGTACGTGGTAGAGTGGATGCACCCAGGGGAAAGGGTTTAGGAATGGCGTTATAGGCAAAATGATTCTTGAGTTGAGTCTTTAAAGTTGAATAGGTGATTACTACGCATAGGAGAAGCACATCCTAGGAAGCAAGAATTATGAAACAGCATGGTTCAATTGGTACTGACGGCTTTCCATGATCTACCTTCTGATCAATAATGTCAAACACTTACATAGTGCTTGCCATGTGGTGGACTTTATTTTGTGTTTTGCACATACGTTAATTCATTTAATCTTCACAAGAACTCTGTGAAGTAGAAGCTGTAATTATCCTCATCTTGTAAATGAAGACAACTGAGGCATAGAAAAGTTATGTAACTTGCCCTAGTTCACATAGTTAATAAATGGTAGAGCTAGAATTCAAACCCAGGCACTCTGACTCTAGGCTCTGTGAACGTACCCATCAGGCTGTACTGCCCACGTCCTTACTTGGGCCACCCTTCCCCCTTTTTTGCACTAACCATACTCGACTACAGAACTGGCTGTTTCTGAGCTTATCAGGCTATTTCATGACTCTACTTATTTCTCCCACTGCTTGGACTGTCCTTTTTCCCTACCTAGCATTCCTGTTTTTAATATCAGAAAAGGTGTGAGCCAGGGTTGTATCTTTTCACCATATTTGTTCAGTCTGTCTGCTGAGCAAATATTCCAAGAAGCTGGACTATATGAAAAAGAACAGGGCATCAGGTCTGGAGGAAGACTAATTAACTACCTGTGATATGTAGATGACACAACCTTCCTTGCTGAAAACGAAGAGGACTTGAAGCACTTACTGATGAAGATCAAAGACCACAGCCTTCAGTATGGATTACACCTCAACTTAAAACAAATCTTCACAACTGGACTAATAAGCAACATCATGATAAATTGAGAAAAGATTGAAGTTGTCAAAGGTTTCATTTTACTTGGATCCACAGTCAACACCTATGGAAGCAGCAGCCAAGAAATCAAATGACGCATTGCATTGGGCAAAGGTGCTGCAAAAGACTTTCTCTTTAAAATGTTAAAAAGCAGAGATGTCACTTTGAAGTGTAAGTTGCACCTGACCCAAGCCATAGTATTTTCAGTGGCCTCATATGCATGCAAAAGCTGGACAATGAATAGGAGGACCGAAGAAGAATTGATGCATTTGAATTATGGCGTTGGCAAAGAATATTGTATATGCCATGGACTGCCAGAAGAAGAAACGAATTTGTCTTGAAAGAAGTACAGCCAGAATGCTCATTAAACGCAAGGGTGGCGAGACTCCGTCTTGCTTACTTTGGACATGTTATCAGGAGGGACCAGTCCCTGGAGAAGAACATCATGCTTGGTAAAGTAGAGGGTCAGTGAAAAAGAGGAAGACCCTCAATGAGATGGATTGACACAATGACTGCAACAGTGGGCTGAAACGTAGCAATGATTATGAGGATGGCACAGGACTGGGCAGTGTTTTGTTCTGTTGTACATAAGGTCGCAGGGAGTGAGAACTGACCCAATGGCACCTAACAACAACAACAGCATTTCTGTTTATTTTTCCAGTAGCTGCTCATCCTCTAAGGTTCAGCACTTTTCCTGCCACTCCAGATACAACTAATCACTTCTCCCTTTGTGTTCCCACTGTCCTTGTAACGCTTTATTTCTGTCTTTCATTTACATATTCCCCCCGCTCCTCCCCTAACTCTTATGATCAGGGATGTCTTACTCATCTTTATAATCTCTGGCACCTAGCAAAATTCTTGATACATGGTAGTGCTGAATAAATGTTTACTGAATGAATGAAGTGTCACGAGAGGAGAGTGGAGAGTGCTGTGTAAGCCCAGAGTGCTTTAGTCTGGGAAGATCAGGAAAGGCGTGCTGGAGAAACAATGCCCATGCTGAGTTGCCAGTGAGGAGTTAGTGGGAGAAAGGGAAGGAAGGAAAAAGGGTGTTCTAAGAAAAGCAGACAATATACATAAAAGTCTGTGGGTATAAGAACATGCTGAAGATCATGGTGGAGTTAAAATCATACTTTTGGTCCTGTATCTGCCTGTTTGTCCAGTTTCCAACCGATTCTGGTTGGAACCCCTGCTAAGAATTTACGGTTCTAACAAGTCCCCAGGAAGTTATACATAAGAATCACCTGGAGATCGTGTTAAAATGTAGATTCTGATTCAGTATATCTGCGGTGGAAGTGCAAATTCTCTGCAGGGAACTTGTCAGAACAAGTTCTTAGCGCGGGGTTTGAACCAGAACAAACTGGTTAGAGGCCCTAGTATTTTCTTTGGTCAGGGTTATAGAAGTCTATATAAGTATAGGGCCAATTTTAATAATGTGCACTTGGGTGCTTCATAGAATATTCTTGAGGCATACCTTCTTGCTTCTGATGCTGTGAGCTTTACTGCTGTTGGGATGCCCAGTACTTAGTATAGTGCCGTTAATATAGAAGTGAGCTGTGGTAAGTGATGTCTCTGGCTGTGGACTGCATGGAAAGCTGATGAGGAGGCCTGTTGAGACGCAGCTTGGAGCACTTACCTCATAGAATAGTACAATGTTAGAGCTGAATGCAGTCATGGTCCTTGGTTTTCATACTCTGCTCTGTGGAGTCCTAAAGTTCTGGGAAAGGACCTCTGTCCTGGAGTAAACCCAAACCAAACCTGTTGCCGTTGAGTTGATTTTGACTCGTAGTAACCCTATAGGACAGAGTAGAACTGCCCCATAGAGTTTCCAAGGAGCGACTGGTGGATTCGAACTGCCAGCCTTTTGGTTAGTAGCTGAGCTCTTAATCACTGCGTTACCAGGGCTCCATCTCCTGGATTAGGGGAGGCCAGTTGGAGAGGGTTTCACTTTCCTTGGTTGGCATTTTCCCACAAATCCATGTTAACTTGCAATGAGAGGGCACTCTATATTGTACAAGTTGTTGGGTGTCATGGATTGAATTATGTCACCCAAAAATATCTGTCAACTTGGCTGGGTCATGATTCCCAATATTCTATGATTGTGTGCCATTTTGTAATCTGATGTGACTTCCTGATGTGTTGTAAACTCTATCACTGTGATGTAATAAGATGGATTAGTGACAGTTCTACGGATGAGGTCTAAGAGATTAGATAGTGTCTTAAGCCAATCTCTTTTGAGATATAAAAGAGAGAAGGGAGCAGAGACACATGGGGACCTCATACCACCAAGAAAGCAGCACCAGGAACAGAGCGCGTCCTTTGGACCTGAGGTTCCTGCGCTGAGACACTCCCAGACCAAGGGAAGACTGAAGACAAGGACCTTCCTCTGGAGCTGACAGAGAAGGCCTTTCCCTGGAACTGATGCCCTAAATTGGGACTCATAGCCTACTAGACTGTGAGAGAATAAATTTCTCTTTGTTAAAGCCATCCACTTGTGGTATCTCTGTTACAGCAGCACTAGATGACTAAGACATTGGGCTTATAAGTAATGTTTTTTTGTTTTGTTTTGTTTTATTGTGTTTTAGATGAAGGTTTACAGAGCAAATTTCTCATTAAACAGTTAATACACATATTGTTTTGTGGTGCTTGCTGCCAACCCCATGACGTGTCAATGCTCTCCCCTTCTCGACCTTGGGTTCCCCATTACCAGCTTTCCTGTCCTCTCCTGCCATCTTGTCCTTGCCCCTGGGCTGGTGTGTCCATTTAGTCTCATATACATGGTTGAGCTGCGTGTACTAAGTAGTATTTTTGTTTGAAGAAGGAGTTCCTTGTTTTATAGATGAGAAACTGAGGACCATGAAAGTTTTAAATGTCAGAATTCAAACTCAGGTCTTTTGACTCTTAAGGGTCCAGTGCTCTTAATATCAGGTGTGATGGGAATTGTATAGGGCCAGATTGAAGTTACATTCTAATCTGAGGCATTGTTTGCTGGGATTGAAATTACGGTACCTCTGCACCTTGTTATATGTTGTTTCCTTTGTTTAAACCGGTTGCAATCTAGTTTGACTCTGACTCATGGTGACCCCATGTGTTTCAGAGTAGAACTGTGCTCCGTAGGTTTTTTTTTTTTTTAATTGTGCTTTAGGTGGAAGTTTATAGCGCAAATTAGTTTCTCATTCAAAAATTTATGCACAAATTGTTTTGTCACATTGGTTGCAACCCCCACATTGTGTCAGCCCCCTTCCCCCTTTCCCTTTATACCCCAGGTTCCCCATGTCTGTTGGTTCAGTTTTCCTGTTCCTGCTTTCTGGTCTTTGCTTTTGGGCGGGTATTGTCCATTTGGTCCTGTATATTTGATTAAACTATGAAGCATGTTCCTCATGTGTATTGTTTGTTTTCTAGGCCTGTTTAATCTTTGGCTGAAAGGTGGACTTCAGAGTGGCTTCAGTTCTGAGTTAGCAGGGTGTCTGAGGGCCATGATCTCTGAGGTTCCTCTAGTCTGTCAGACCAGTAAATCTGGTCTTTTGTGAATTTCAATTTTGTTCTACATTTTTCTCGCTTTCTGTCCAGGACCCTCTGTTGTGATCCCTGTCAGAGCCGTCAGTGGTGGTAGCCAGGCACCGTTTAGTTCTTCTGGGCTCAGGCTGGTGGAGGCTGTGGTTCATATGGTCCATTAGTTTTTTGGACTAATATTTTCCTTGTGTCTTTGATTTTATTCATTCTCCTTTGCTCCAGACAGGATGGAATGAATAGATGTATCTTAGATGGCCCCTCACAAGCTTTTAACATCCCAGATGCTACTCACCAAAGTAGAATGTAGAACATTTTTTTTATGAACTATGTTATGCCAGTTGACCTAGATGTCTCCCAAGACCATGGTCCCCAGCCTTCAGCCCCAGTAACTCAAGGTATTTGGATGTATCTAGGAAGCTTCTATGACTTTGCCTTGGTCAAGTTGTGCTGACTTCCCCTATATTGTGTGTTATCTTTCCCTTCACCAAAGCTAACACTTGTCTACTATCTAGTTAGTGATTACCCCTCCTCACTCCCCCCATCCCACTTGACCATCAAAAATTTTTTTTTCCTGTGCGTAAACCTGTCTTGACTTTTTATAGTAGTGGTCGCATACAGTATTCGTCCTTTTGTGATTGACTTATTTCACTCAGCATAATGCCCTCCAGATTCATCCATGTTGTGAGATGTTTTGTGGATTCATTATTGTTCTTTATTGTTGCCTAGTATTCCGGTGTATGTATGTACCATAGTTTGTTTATCCATTCATCTGTTGATGGGCACGTAGGCTGTTTCCATCTTCTTGCTATTGTGAATGATGCTGCAGTGAACATGGGTGTGCCTATGTCTATTCGTGTGCCAGCTCTTAATTCTCTAGGATATATTCCTAGGACTGGGATTGCTGGATCATACAGTATTTCTATTTCTAGCTTTTTAAGGAAGCACCATATTGTTTTCCATAGTGATTGTATCATTTTGCATTCCCACCAGCAGTCCATAAGAGTTCCAGTCTCCGCACAATCTCTCCAACATTTGTTATTTTCTGTTTTTTTGATTAGTGCCGTTAATGTCAGGGTGAGTTGGTATCTCATTGTAGTTTTGATTTGCATTTCTCTAATGGTTAGTGATCGTGAGCATTTCCACATGTGTCTTTTAGCCGCCTGAATGTCTTCTTTGGTGAAGTGTCTGTTCCTATCCTTTGCCCATTTTTTAATTGGATTGTTTGTCTTTTTGTTATTGAGGTGTTGAAGTATTCTGTAGATTTTAGAGATTAGACTTGTCGAATCTGTTGTAGCCAAAATTTTTTTCCCAGTCTGTAGGTTCTCTTTTTACTGTTTTGGTGAAGTCTTTTGATGAGCTTAAGTGTTTAATTTTTAGGAGCTCCTGTTTATCTAGTTTGTCTTCTGGTGTTTTGCATTGTTGGTATGGTTTGTACTGTATATATGCTATGTATTAGGGCTCCTAGCATTGTCCCTATTTTTTCTTCCACGATCTTTATCATTTTAGGTTTTATATATTTAGGTCTTTGATCCATTTTGGGTTAGTTTTTGTGTATGGTGTGAGATACGGGTTCCTGTTTCATTTTTTACAGATGGACATCCAGTTTTGCCAGCACCATTTGTTAAAAAGACCATCTGTTCCTCATTTAATGGCCTTTGGTCCTTTCTCAAAGATCAGCTGACCATAGGTTGATAGTTTTACATCTGGATTCTCAATTCTGTTCACTGATCTGTGTGTCTGATGTTGTCCAGTACCAGGGCTTCACTGGGTTTTAAATGGTTGTGATTTTTCAGAAGTAGATTGTGGGACCTTTCTTCTGAGGCATCCAAGGTGAATTTGAACCACTAACCTTTCAGTTAGTAGCCGAGTGCTTAACCATTTATGCTTCCTTCCCTTTCTCCACTAATTCCTCATTGACAGCTCAGTGTGGGCATCATTTCTCCAGGATGCCTCTCCTCATCTTCCCAGACTAAAGTACTTTAGACTTGGTAAATACCTTAAGTTGTAGATGTTGTGCAGGAGCCTTCATTTCTGCCTGGGTGTACTGGGTGTAAGCACTGCAGTGTAGGTATTGATGCTAGGGGCCCAGGATTGATCATAATTATGGTAAAGGTGCAGTATTATTTGCCAGTTTGGTCTTAAATAAATTATTTTTCCTGAACATTGCATTTCACACTTGTATTAAAAAGACATCATTTGCTATATAGTTTAAATCAGTAGGGATTTATGACCTTTTACTGTGGCTCTATTCTGTGGTAGCTGCTGTAAAGAAATTCTTTTGAAGGTCAAACAGGTTCATTTATTACCTGTTTGAGTTTGAAAAAAGGAATTAACAATATGATTATGCAAATCTAGGTTCAGAGACAAGTCTACATTTGTGTTTATAGTGATATCTTTCATTTATTGTTGCGTATGTGCCATCGAGTCGATTCTGACTCATAGCAACCCTATATGATAGAGTAGAACTTCCCCTTAGGATTTCCTAGGCTGTAATCTTTACGGGAGCAAATCACCAAGTCTTTTTCTCCCTTGGAGCGGGTGGTGAGTTCAATCCACGCACTTTCGGTTAATAGGCAAGCACTTAACCATTGCGCCACCAGGAGCAGATGGCTTAATTATTGAAGAAATCTTAAGTCATTTCATATTTTTCAGAGGCCCAACATGTTTGCCCCCACGTGTCTGTCAGTTTGACATACTGTGGGGGCTTCCATGTTGCTGTGATGCTGGAAGCTATGCCACCAGTATTCAGATACTAGCAAGCTCATCCATGGCAGACAGGTTTCAGCTGAGCTTCCAGACTATGACTAGGAAGAAGGACCAGTAAGCAGCATCATGATAAATGGAGAAAAGATTGAAGTTGTCAAGGATTTCATTTTACTTGAATCCACAATCAACACCTATGGAAGCAGCAGTCAAGAAATCAACAGATGCATTGAGCTGGTCAAATCTGCGAAAGAGCTCTTCTGCAAAGTGTTGAAAAGCAAAGATGTCACCTTGAAGACTGAGGTGCGCCTGACCCAAGCCATGGTATTTTCAGTTTCATCATATGCATGTGAAAGCTGGACAATGAATGAGGAAGACTGAGGAAGAATTGATGCCTTTGAATTGTGGTGCTTGTGAAGAATATTGAATATATCATGGACTGACAAAAGAATGAATAAATCTGTCTTGGAAGAAGTACAACCAGAATGCTCCTTAGAAGCAAGGATGTCAAGACTATGTCTTACATACTTTGGACATGTTATCAGGAGGGATCAGTCCCTGGAGAAGGACATCATGCTTAGTAAAGTACAGAATCATCGAAAAAGAGGAAGACCCTCAACTAGACGGATTGATAACAGTGCCTGCAGCAATGGTCTCAAGCATAACAACGATTGTGAGGATGGTGCAGGACCGGGCAGTGTTTCATTCTATAGTACATGGGGTTGCTATGAGTTGAAACCGACTTGACTGTACCTAACAACACCAACAGCGTGTTTTGGTCTCTGCTATTAATTCAAGTCTGAAATTTTTTGTTTGTTTTGTTTTAATTTTCAAAGAGTAAGAACTCACATATCAGACATCCACTTGGTAAACTCTTACTCTTTCTTCAAGAGACAGCTCAAGTATTACCTCCTTGTAAAAACTTCCTGGTCTTTTCTGGGAAGACTTAGGTGTTCCCCTCACTATATGCCCACTGCATCTTGGATATATCTCTGCCATAGCACTAATGATGATAGGTTGCAATTTACTAAATTTGTCTTCTGCACTTAATTGTGAGAAACTCAAGGACAAGGGCTAGATTTTTTTTTTTTCATTCATATCCCAACCCCCACCCCTACCCCCCAGGCTGTAGCTGAGGGTATATATCAACAGTGAGTAAGAAAATATAAAGGAGACATTTATACTGCAGCTAAGGAGCATTTCATACTCTAGTTATTAGAGTTGGAAGTGATGCATTTGACATGGACATCAGTAACTAAATAAAATTGAATGAGTACTGTGTGTCTTTGGCTTTTGTTACCTCTTTTTTTCTGTTAATTGTTTCTCTTTGTGTTTACAGTTTGTAAAAATGGAATTTCAAGCAGTAGTGATGGCAGTTGGAGGGGGATCTCGGATGACAGACCTGACTTCCAGCATTCCCAAACCTCTGCTTCCAGTTGGGAACAAACCTTTAATTTGGTACCCATTGAACCTGCTTGAGCGTGTTGGATTTGAAGGTGAGATATGGAAGTTAGATGCTGTTATAAAACTTTTGGGACATTTGATCCCTATGATTTGTTAACATTATGAGGGTGAGAGAAGATGAATGAAAGGAGACTAGGACTCAAAGTTGGTTGGTGACTGGCCTCTTTACATTATGAATATAGGAGTACACTATTGCTGTGTAAAAGAAGTTGAGGAGATAGCACTAAGTGCTGCTGTATTAGAGCTAGTCTTCACAGTGACCCAAGATGAAACCTGTGAGGATATCAGAACAGCAAATTGGTAATGCAAGTGCTTCATAGTACTTATTGAGAATCTATTATGTGCCAGGTAATTTTTTTCTTTTTTAATTGTGCTTTAGGTGAAAGTTTACAGCTCAAGTTAATGTCTCATACAAAAATTTATACACACAGTGTTATGTGACCCTACTTGCTGCACATATAATATGACAGCACCCCCCCCCGCCCCTTTCCACCCTGGGTTTCCCGTGTCCATTCAGTCAGCTCCTATCCCTTTCTGCCTTCTCATCCTGCCTCTGGACAAGAGCTGCCCATGTAGTCTTGTGTATCTACTTGAACTAAGAAGCATACTCTTCACAAGTATTATTTTATGTTTTGTCTTCCAGTCTAATCTATGTCTGAAGAGTTGGCTTTGGGAATGGTTTCAGTTCTGAGCTAGCAGAGAGTCCGTGGGTCATGTCTTCCGGGGTCAGTCAGACCATTAAGTCTGGCCTTTTTACTAGAATTTGAGTTCTGCACCCTACTTTTCTCCTGCTCCATTAGGGACTCTCTGTTGTGTCCCTTGTCAGGGCGGTCATTGGTGGTAGCCGGGCACCATCTAGTTCTTCTGGTCTTAGGCTGATGGAGGCTTTGGTTTATGTGGCCCTGTGCCAGGTAATATTTTAAGCACTGGAGTATATACTTGAAAAGACAGCTTCAGGCTCTGAATTCTAGAACTTTAAAATCTAGTGGGGAGACAGACATGTAAACGTTGTTGTGTGCTGTCGAGTTGATTGCAACTCATAGCGACCCTATAGGACAGAGCAGAATGCCACATAGGGTTTTCTAGGCTGAAATCTTTACTGGAACAGATTGCCAGGTCTTTTCTCCCATGGAGCAGCTGGTGGGTTCGAACTGCCGACCTTTTGGTTACCAGCTGAGTGCTTAACCATTGTGCCACGAGGGCTCCTTAAACATGTAAATAGATATCGCCTATTTAATGTGATAAATGTTGTAACGGGTACATTATAAGTGCTTGGGAGGAATATAAAGAATATAAAGTTCCTGTTTTTATCTGAGGGAATCAGGGAAAGTTCACAGAGTAGCTGACCCTTGAACCGAGTCCTGAAAAATAGATTACTAGAGTGACCAATGTGGAGAGAGCATTCCATGCAGAAGGAATAACATATGCAGAGACAGAGAGGAATGATCAGTATAGCATGTTCTGGCAGTTGGTATTCATTCCATGTGACTATGATATAAAGTGTAAGAGGGAAGAGTGGACGTAGCAAGAGAAATAAATAGGGTTCATACTATGAAGGGCCTTGGATTTCATGCTGAGGAATTTACATTTTTTTTCCTGAAAGCAGTGGGAAACCAATGAAAGGTTTAAACAAAGGTGTAATAAAGTTAGACTTGTATTTTAGCTACTCTGAGTCCTTTGCATTTTTAATATAAATTTTAGAATCATCTTATCAATTTCTACAAAAAGTGCTGCTGGGATTTTGTTTGGGATTACATTGAATATAGATCAATATGGGAGATTTCACATCTTAATAATATTAGAGTTTTCTGATCCATGAGCATGGTATATCTCTCCATTTATTTAGGTCTTCTTTAATTTCTCTAATTTTATAGTTTTCAATGTATAGGGCTTGTGCATATTTTATTAAATTTATCTCTAATTAGTTTATTTTTTGATGCTATTGTAAATGATATTTTTTTAAAACTAATTCCCAGTTTTGTTGCTACTACATAAAAATACAATGGATTTTTTTAAATTGACCTTATATCCTGCAACTTTGCTAACTTCACTTATTGTTAATACTAGTAGCGTTTTGTATATTCCTTTGACTTAATTGACATTTATAGAACATCCAACCTAATAAGGCAGAATAGGCATTCTTTTCAAGTGCTCAGAACTTTTGCCAAGATAAACCATATTCTTGGAAATAAAACATACCTCAACAATGTTATAAGGATTAAAATCATACAAAGTATATTCTCTGACCACAAGAAAATTAGATTAGAAATCAATAACAGAGAGATAGCAAAAGAATCCCTAAGTATTTGGAAATTAAACCACATACTTACACGACCCACTGGTCAAAGAAGAAATCACAAGGGAAATTAGAAGATATTTTGAGCTTACTGAAAAATGAAAACACAACATATTAAAATTTGAAGGATATAGGTAAAACAGTGCTTACCAAAAAACACATTGCCATTGAGTTGATTCCGACTCATAGCAACCCTATAGGACAGAGTAAAACTGTCCCATAGGGTTTCTAAGGCTGTATAGTTTACGGAAGCAGACTGCTATATCTTTCTCCCACAGAGTGGCTGGTGGGTTCAAACTGCTGACCTTTTGGTTATCAGCCAAGTGCTTAACCACTGCACCACCAAGGCTCCCTAAAATAGCGCTTAGAGGGAAATTTATAGCATTAAATACTTACAGAAGAAGGAATGTTTCAAGCAATGATTTAAGCTTCTACTTTGAGAAACTAGAAAAAAGAGCAAACAAAACCTAAAATAAGTAGAAAGGAGGAAATAAAAAAGATAAGAGCAGAAATAAATAGAAAACAAAACTATATCTAAACCATATGTATAGCTCCATAGGATTTGTTTTGATCCTCAGTAAAGCACTAATTGCTTTACTCGGGAAGTGGTGATAGCTTTCTTTATACTGAATAAAGGGTTAAAATGAGGTCACATTTATATGTTTTGTTGAATGCTCTTCTGAATCCTTTACATCAAGAAGAAGGGGCATGTAACATATTGTTGAAGTGTGGGGCTCTAATCACACAGTCCTAAATCTTGGCTCCATTGCTTACTAGTTGTGTGACCCTGAGCAGTCATTTAATGTCCTTTATTGTAAGTTTCCTCATTTGTGAAGTGAGATGTTTGTAAGAATTAAGTGAGAGAATGCATGTAAAACACATAGAAAAGGTTCAATAATATTAGCTATTATTTTTATTATTAAACCCAGAAACAGACCACATCTAATTGAAATAGTGAAACTGTTGTCTAAATGACATTTTTCCTTCTTTTTTGCTTTTGTGCTGTAGAAGTCATTGTGGTTACAACCAGGGATGTCCAAAAGGTGCTATGTTCAGAATTCAAGATGAAAATGAAGGCAGATATTGTGTGTATTCCTGATGAGACTGATAAGGGAACTGCAGATTCTCTGCGCCACATATATCCAAAACTGAAGGTAAAAAACTTTTTTTTCCTTTTATTTTTAATTGATGATAAAACCTTAATATCTTATGTTTTTCTAGCGCATTACAGTTTACAAAACTGTTTTTTAAAAAATACATTTTTGCATCACATGTTTGTTGGCCGTGTAGTCCTCAGTTGCTGTTTGCTTTGATAGCTAGTGAAGATTTAGACATTGAGTTGTCAAAGTCATTGGTTTCCAATATTTTTTAGTAATATATCTTTATAAAAAAGATATACTTCAAAAGAGTCCTTTTATATGAAGTTCATGAACGAGCAGAATTAATGTATGGCTCTGCAGGTGGGGGATTACTTGGAAAGAAGCACAAAGGAACTCTGAAAAAAATTCCACAAATCCTCCATGTGATAATATTTGAAGTTATAGTCTCCTTTGATTAAGAAACTAGTAAAGGCTTATGGATATGAGAACCATTTGAGATAACTCGATAGTCTCCTCAGTGGCCTGTGGCATATAAACTGAGAAACACTGTTGTCTGAAATAATGTTATTGTTAAGACAGGCAGTTTAATTGAAGAGCTACTGTAAGTTGTTCTAAAATTGGTGTCTTTTGGAAGAATTCAGTCGTTGTGATCATATTGCTGTCTTAGTGGAATTGGAGGACAGACTTCCTGCTGCTTCTGCTGACTGCAAACAGATGTATTATTTTTACCTACTTGTTCATTAAAAAACAAAAAAAGTAGTGCAGATATGTACATAGCCTTTCCCTCCCTTTATTGGGGAATAATTTACACACAGTAAAATGCATAGATCTTAAGTATACTGTTTGATAAATTTTGACGAATATGTACACCCAGATTACCATTACCCAATCTGGGACATTTTTATTACCCTTGCAAGTTCCTTGTGCTTCTTTGAAGTCCATCCCTTGCTATATAGTCACTGTAGAGCTCTTCTGATTTCTATTACCTTATATTTATTTTCCTTGTTTATGAACTTCATATAAATGGAATCATACAATTTTGGTTTAGTTTCTTTTGTTCAACATAATATTTTTCAGATTTATTTGTATCATTTTAGGTATATTGCTGAATAGTATTCCACTGAATTGAATATATCATAATTTATTTAACCATTTTGTTGAGGGTCATTTGGGTTGTTTCTGATCTTTGGCTATTATGAATAAAGCTGTTATGAACATTGTTCTGCAAGTCTTTTTTGTGAAAATATTCTAGGTTGTAGAATCTAGTTTATTGGAAACTGCCAAAGTGGTTGTACCATGTTACACTTCATCAGCAATTTATTAGAGTTGCATTTACTTCACACCTTCATCAGCACTTGATATTGTTAATCTTTAAAATTTTAACCATGCTTAGGTATATATACAGAGACCAGCATTCATTGGTGATTACCAGGGATGGAAGGGGAGGGAGATTCATTCTCTAGATAGTTGATTGTTGTTGTTAGGTGTCATCAAGTCGGTTATGACTTAGAGCGACACAGTGTACGACAGAATGAAACACTGCCTGGTCCTGTGCCATGCTTAAAATCGTTGCTGTGTTCGAGCCCATTGTTGCAGTCTAGATAGTAGTTCCTTTTTATTTACAATGATGGGGAAAGGTAGCACGGAATGTGGGTGAAGTATTCACAGCTTGACCAAAGTAACTGATGCCACTAAGTTGTACACAAAAAAAAGGATGTTTTGGTAAATGCTGTTATATATTATTTTGTAACAACAACCAAAAAATATATATAATAAGTAGGGGGTCACAGAAACTGATACTTCGTAGATACAACCAGTCACCATATGGGGTTAGTCTTCTTGGTTTGAAGACTTAAAGTCATAGTCTCGTGGGACAACTAAGTCAGTTGGCATAATATAGTTCATTATGTTTATGTTCTACATCCTATCTTGGTGAGTAGTGTCTGGTGTCTTAAAAGCTTGTGAGCGGCCGTCTAAAATACAGCTATTGGTCTCTACTCATCTGGAGCAAAAGAGAAAGAAGGAACTAGTCTACAGGACTATTTGTCTCCGTGAACAATGGCCTCTGCCACCCTGAGACCAGAAGAACTAGATGGTGCCTGTTTGCCACTACCAAACGTTCTGATCAGGGCAACAATAGATGGATCCTGATAGAAAGGGAGAAAAATGTAGAATAGAACTCCAAATTCTAAAAAAATCCAGACTTCCTGGACCCATTGAGACGGGAAGAATCCTCGAGACTATTGACCTGAGATACTCTTTAAACCTTGAACCAAAATTGTCTCCTCAAGTCACCTTTTAGCTAAATGGCAGGTTAGCTCATAAAGAATATCACCCTTGAGTACTGTGCTCTTTTAAAAAATCATCTATATGAGACCAGATAGTCAACAGTTACTCCAAAACATAGATGAGAAGGTTGGGGGTTGTGAGACTAGATTAATGAGAATGGAACAACTAGAACGGAAATAATGAGAATGTTGACACAATGTGAAGAATGTAACCAGTGTCACTGAACAATATGTGTAGAAATTGTTGAATGGGAACCTGTTTTGCTGTGTACACTTCCACCAAATATGCAATAAAATATTATAAACAAATTTTTTTTTTTTAACTAGTGGGTATTTGGGGAGTCCCTGGGTGCTACAGATGGTTAAAATGCTCGCCAACTAGCTGAAAGGTTGGTGGCTCGAACTCACCCAGAGGCACCTCTGAAGAAAGGCCTGGCAGTCTGCTTCTGAAGGGTCACAGCCTTGAAAACCCTATGGAGTAGTTCTACTCTGCACATAGAGTTGCCATGAGTCGGAATCGACTCAGTGGAAACTAACAACATCAGCAAGTGGGTGTATGTCTCATTATGGTTATAATTTTCATTTCCCTGATAAGTAATTATGCTGAGCACCTTTTCATGTGTTTATTGGCCATTTGTATATCTTCATGAAGTGTCTGTTCAAGGCATTTGCCTGTTTTTTAGCTGAGTTGTTTGCCTTTTTATTATTAATATGTAGGAATTCTTTATATATTCCAGATGCAAGTCTTTTGTTAGCTAAGGTGTTGTGAATATTTTGTGCAAGTTTGTGGCTTGCCTTTTCACTTTCTTAGTGGTATCTTTTGATGATCAGAAGTTTTAAATATTGCTAAGATCCAAATTACTGATTTTTTTATTTTCTGGTTAGTGCTTTTTAGTGTCCTGTTGAAGAAATCGTTGCCTACCTCATGTTTACTTCTAGAAATGTAGTTTTAGCTTTTATGTTTAGGTCTATGACCCACTTTGATTTAATTTTATATATGATGTGAGGTAGGGATAAAGGTTCACTTTTTTCCTATATGCATATCCAGTTGTTCCAGCATTATTTGTTGAAAAGACTTTCCCCTTTGAATTGCATGGTGCCTTCATTGAAAATCAGTTGACCATAGACGTATGATCTGTTTCTGGCCTCTCTTTTGTTTGATTGATTTGTCTGTCTTTACTCCAATACCACACTGTCTTGATTAACTTTATAGTAAGTCTTGAAATCTGATAGTGTAAGTCCACCAACTTTGTTATTTTTTCCTTAAGATTGTCTTGACTACTCCCAGTCCTTTGGCTTTCCATATAAATTTTAGAATCAGCTTGTCAGTTTCTACCAAAAAAGCTTCCTGGGATTTTTGATTGGAATTGAATCTATATCAAATTGGGGAGAATTGAGTCTTAATATTGAATCTTCCAGTCCTTGAACATGTTATATCTATCTATTTAAGTTTTCTTTAATTTCTGCCAGTAGTGTTTTATAGTTTTCTGTGTAGAGATTTTGAACATCTCTTGGTAAATTTATTCGTGTGTAAATGTTTTTATACCCATTGTAACTGGCATTTTTCATTCCATTTTCAATTGTTTATTGCTTGTATATTGATTTTTTATAATTTTACAATTCATTGATTTATAATTGTACAATTTTTACAATTGATTTTTCTCTGTTGACCTTATATCCTGTGACCTTGTAGAATTGTAGATTCTTTAGAATTTTCTATATGCATCTTCATGTTGCCTGCAAATAAAAACGTATTATTTCCTTTTTTAATCTTTAAACCTTTTATTTCTTTTTATTGCCTTATTACCCTAGCCAGGATCTCCAGTATAATGTATGTAGGCATTTTGATTCACTTTTTGGCCTGTTTTTGTGCTTTTCTGTGTTTCTACCCAAGGTAGGAAGGAGTGGGCTTTGGTGCTTCTGATTAGGGTAAGGATTTCCAATATTGTTGAGTGTGTTAATTTCTGGAGTGTAGCTGCTTATTTCTTTAGGGGAGACCTGGGGAATTTCATGAGGGTAATGACAAGCAGATTCTGTTCTTTCACGGGAACAGATGCCAAGTTTACTGTGGAGCTTAGAATTTTTTTTTTTTAATTTTTTTTATTGTACTTTAGATGAAGGTTTACAGAACAAATAGTTTCTCATTAAACAGTCAGTACACATATTGTTTTATG